AATCTCATTTTCTTTTTAATTGATCAATTTGTTGATGTTGTTGTTTTTGTGTGACAGACATCGCAGGATTCCTGATCCTTATCCCTCAATATCGTTCGTTTGGGTGCACTCATTTCGGCTTCCATGGCCAGCCAAGGCCGGCTGCCAGTCAGCTGATAATCGAGTTGTCTTAACTCTGGGTATAAAGGGACTCTAGCGGAGAATTGCGAGCTCACGCCTCGCGCCAGCGCGCCTTCAATTTTGCAGACGCAACACGGACATCCATCAAGTACGAATAGTTGTATCTCTGCGCCGTTGTCAACGCGCGTCCGTTCCTTTGCGTGATTCTATGTTGTATTGGTTCTGTTTGTCTTATTTGTGATGCTACTTCGAGGTAGACATGAACAACACAGACAAAGAGGAGAGGCGTATTTTTGCCTAGTTTTCTTAACTTTTCTCCCAATTCTGATAATGAGCGACACATCATTAGCAGCATAGAGCGGAGTTGCACAAGTTCATACCTCGCGTGCCTTCAATTGTACGCTAGGTCGAATTGACCCAACTATACCTTCTGCAGGAGTCAGACATGGTGGATGAGGAGGTAGGTGAGAAAGCGCCAGAATAAAACCAAAAAGATGAAAATTTTCGGAGCAAAAATACTTTCTTATTACCTTCAAAATCATATAAAACTCACATTGATAGTGCTTCAAAAACTATCGAAATCAATATAATGAAATACAAGTCAATTTGAGCCGACTTGGGACTTCGCGTATGAAATTAATTTGTCGGATTTGGCGGTTAAACACCAACTGCTCGTTTACAAATTGTTGTTGGAGTTTTTGAGCATGTTCATCGAATTCCGGATAAAATTTTGATGATGAAACCGGCATGGCGGTGCTTTGATTCTTACCTTACCCAGTAACCGCTATTTGAAGAGGACGAAAATCGACAACGGGGCTTTGGCTCAATGGAGAACCATCTCGAGGCACTAATCCGAAAGCGAGAACGGGTGGAAAATTGGAAAGAGTTTATCGCGCCCGGCGCCCGGGTCATGGGGCGGGCTGCGGGGGGAGGGGGGAGGGGTGGAGGGGTGGAGGCGGATTGCGATGAAAGAATCTCTGTCGTAATTGCGAGTACCTAAGTCGAGTAGTTGCGAGCGAATTATTTATCGATATCGATTGTGAGCAATTCTCATTTCTCGCCGAAGCTGCAGTTTGTTGGGTTTTGTAGTCCGGCTGTGCGAGTGTGTTGGTGTGTCTTTATCAGAGGCGGCGCGGCGCGGCGTCGGCGATGAAATGAATAGGAAAACCCCGATGATTAACTCTCCCAGCGCACGCAAACGAATTCACAATAGATAAGATTCCCCGTAATTATATACAATTATTCATTTGCGCACCCCCGTGAGAAATTCACTGCTCACAGAGCTTTTAGCTACAGTCCTCGCCCCCCACTGTTGCCTTTTGCGTTGAAACGGGAAAGTTCAACCCTCAGCCCTCAGCACACTTCTCCTAACGGAAAATTCTCCATCTATTCTGGCACGTTCAATGTTCAGCCGTCTTTCTAGTTTTCACTTAATCAAATGCTCGTACGCTCACAAATTCTTTTCTCACAACACAAACACAAGTTTCGGATGTTTTACAAACATAGGTTCGATCCAACAAAACAAGACGTTAAATGTATATGTGATGATGAGGTCCATGCATGACCAGAACAATTTCTTCTCACCGTATGGTGATGGTCAAAACCGATTTTGACAAGATGACAGGGTTTGGCTATAACATTTACAAGTATTAAATGAGTAGGAAGTAATCATACCAATTTTTGTGCTGGAGTCCGCCAAGACACAACTCAGAGAAAACACAACTAAGTTGAATACTCGAGGTGACACCATTTTCCCCTGCAAATATAAAAAAGAGAGATTATACATTACAGTTACAGTGAATCATGCTGCATGTAATTATTATGACCACGCGAGTTTTGCCGGATTTTCAAGTTAATCAAACTCAATATGCATTTTTTTTTGTGACGTCATATCGTAACGATTTTTCCTGTAGAGATTATTGATATGAACAGTTCCGTCAAATTTCATTTTGATGTACTGCATGGAAAAATGAAACATTCCATATTAAAACTTAATGACAAGAGCAGCTTAGACGAACATTTTCTGTTCATGTCAAAATGTATACTTATTGTTGTAAAGGTTGTTTTTGCTCTCGAGATTTTTTCGAACGATTTCTGAAATTTCGAAAATTTCTGACCCGTCTGTAAAAACACCTATCTGTTTAAAGAAACTAGAAGGACGTCGTTTGTAAAATGAGTCAAAGTTGTAGTTCCCCATTGGAAAATGTAGACCAAATATCGGATCTCGTGAGCGCATCCGCCAGCTATTTATTTTACTGTTTGATCTTTGGCACGTATCTGAGTCCAGAATGAGAACGCTGATGGGTATCAGTTAGTGTGGTTTCCTTTAATGCTCTGCCAAAAGGCTTCATAATATACTTACTTCAGCAAAACGAAGCTCGTGGCAACTCATATGCCACATGAGCTGAAATAGCTTGTTTTATCTTTCCATTTATCCTTAAATGTAACTATTTTTGATGCAGTCTTGCAAGTTATTCCTGGGTAAGTATATTTGCCTCGCCGACTTATCACGGTATAGTGTGCTAATCTCGTTTGGAAGCTACACTTGCATTAGATTAATATCAGTCCAAACCTTTTCATTCCTCCCTGTAGAAGATAGAATTTGTGTCAAAGGATGTTACAAGCTATGTCTATCGGTCTAACACACTCTACACGGTTGACTTTGAAGCATTCTCATTATGTTCAGCGCTTAGCAGAGACGTGGCGTGCTTTGCGATTTATCGATTGATCTGCCATTTGAACCGATGGAAAAAGATCGATAAACGATTCTTAATCCGATAATACATACAATAATCGACTTTCACCATAACTTCGAATGGGATATATCGAAAATCAATCATTCACGCCTGGCCAGTGGCTTACAGAGATTGAAGGTAACTGAAAATATTGAATTACTCGTATGACTCTGGTTTTGTTTCACGTTCTCTCCCATCCCCCCCTCTATCTTTCTTTCAAGTTTATACTTCATTTGAAAGCATTGGATTATGAAATAGTCGGAATTTTTCAATAATTCAAGTTGGAAAAGGTGTGATAATTTGCTTTACAATTCCTATAAATTTCAAGGAGAACTACTTTAGATGGTGACATTTTTTTTCTGTTTAATTTTTTCCATCAGCTGCCTCACAAAATACCTTCAAAATTTCACCTTTCTATTTATCAATTCATTTTCTACGCTTACCTCTTCGTTCTCCTCTCCTTTAGAACAATGCTCGGGGAAAGTTGTTATTGAAATAAGAGTCTTAATGATTTCTTTGTGTAATTCACAGTTGAGGTGCTTCAGCACGTTGAACAGAAAGGAAGGCGGCTTGTAAAGCATGGCTTGCCAATGGAGGAGTTTTAAAGTTCTTCCTACCACACTGAAAACACCCCTCATAATCAAAAACCCTTAGGAATAAAAAGCGAAAGGAGAGGAAGAAAACAAAGTTTCCTAATTAAAAAAATAAAAATGAGTGCTCGTTGAATTCAAAAAAGGCTCCACTCTCCCGGCAAAAAATCAATACGAACTTCATAATGAGGGAAACCGATTTTTGGGGTCTTGATAGACGTCCGAGCCTTGGGGGAAAGTTCACCGTCAAAAAGTCGTGATTCATTAATTTTGGTTTTACCGATTTTAACAAGCAGTTTCGGGGGCTATTTAATTGGACCTCAAGGCTGGCGACTCGGCCTGAAACCCCGTGAGGCGGGGCTGGATTGAGAGTCACTCATACTCATCATCATTCCTCAAACTCATAGTGGATGTCCGCTTTTTCAGATTATTCCAATCGTAGTTACAATGTTACCTCTGCGGTAAAAATCATTTCGGTCTCGGTAGAAAAGCTGTGTGGTTATTGACGCTGAAAGAAGTGTTACCACAAAAGTAACATTATGTAATAACGGGAAAAAAACACATTGGATCCAGAGTCCAGACTCTTGAAAACATTGGCAAGAAAAAATACTCTTGATTCAATCAGATTCAAGCTTAAATCGAAAGAAAATCCGCTCAAATTAAGAGGCTCGGTTCTTGAATTAAGCAAAAATCCGATTGAATCAAGAGTATTTTTTCTTGTCGATGTTTTTAACAATCTGGACTCTAGATCCGATGTGTTTTTTTCCCCCAGTGAAAATTAGGTGGGACCTAGAATTCACTTGAAGTCTTGTGAGAGGGATGACTCTATCCCCAGAAGCGGATCCAGCAATTTGGCAACACCGGGTTCCCTCCATTCAAACCTATGTTAAATAATCGATCCTTGTCGGAGCAGCTGGCTCCTCAAAGAATCAACACACTCCCATAGGTTTAAATGGAGAAAAACAATGTTGCCAATTCGCTGGATCTGCAAATGTATATCCCCTTATGTAGAAGATGCAGAGAAACGAGCACATAGGATATGCTGAGAGCAACGAGGGTGGATTTCTGAAGGTCAGGAGGAACATCTAGAGCGTCCGTAATAATAGGTTGTATTAAATAATGGACGTTGAAAATGAAATCATTTTCGACTTTATTTTCAAACAGCTAGTCCAGTTTGGTCATGTTAATATGAGGGAGGGACAACTGCCAAAAAAGATCCGTGGTTGGGTTTCTCTGGGGAAGGAATGAAGGAGGGCTCTGCGAGAGGGTATAGTGACACACAATGGATCGAGTTAATAGGAGAGGTCGGAAAAAATTTGCAAAATTTTAAAGCTCTTAACTTCGTTTATACAACACTTGAGGCTCTGGAAGTAGCTCAATTGGTTTTCCCGTGCAATTTTCTGCTACAAACCCCCCTTGAATTTTAAAATGTGACGGAGTAAACATAAAAATTTGCAATTTTAGTCAACAATTTCATGTCCGGCCTCTCTAACTGTCTCAATCCACTGTGCGACGTGTTGCGCCGCGCCTGCACAAAACGGGCATCGGCGCCTACAAACCTAACAGGGATACTTCACGCATTGCGCAATGCGTGAAGTATCTCTGTTAGGTTTGAAGGCGCCAATGCGCGTGCCGCGCTGGTCGATTTCGCCTGCCGCGCCGCAGCGTGCCACGGCGCTTCAAGAGCTTTGATTACAAGGCTTTAAATTTTTCTGCTCCACTTCCATTTTCGTAAAATGATATCAGCGAAAAATTGTTACAGAAAATTTTCAGATACAAGTTTACATGGTTAGTTTTAGTTCCTGTGCGTATCATTATTCAATTTTATGCAAACGCACAGCAATATACAGATGCATGTTTGGCTCAACCAAGTAATATATCCTCGACACTTTTACGACTTTAAATGCTGAGATACGCTGTTTTAAGTTCATACGATCCTCTTGCAAACAGTCCCATTTGCTCGGAGATAATTGTTCAGTATTGGAAAATAACAGAAAAAGCGCACTCCTGTGTAAGCTGAGCGATCCCCAAAATATTTTACGCTATTCATTTGCAGAAAGCATAATTACTGCGAGCAACGCTGACAGCACGTGAGTCGTGCGAGGAAACAAAGTGTCAGCTGAATCACTGCGGAACACAAAATTGTCCATCGGTGTGTAACGGCATGAAAAGTTTGAGTTGTAACTTCTACTTTGGACGCTGCGCCCAGTCAGCATTCCGCGGTCCGGTGCATCTTGGACTTCTCGCTTGAGTCATTTACAATTGAGACTAATGTATCTGGACTCACATGGCTGGCGGTCACTCCAATATAATCTCGTGTCACGGCCATATTCCTTTATTTCGCTCCCAACTTGAACGCAGAGGTCAAAAGGAGGATTAGAGAGGAACTCAGACCCTCATCTATCCTCTTTTTCACAGAGGCGAGGAATATAAAAGGAGGGATGGACCGTATTCATGAGTACTTTACTGTTTCTACTTGGTGCCTCTGTCTCTGCTTTCAAGCTCCCCAAGTCACGGAGCATAACCGTCACTTCCAAGTGACCATCGTAATGGACCAGACGAAGGAAAGGGGGCGTCACGCCGTCACGGCACCTTCTTCTTGTGTCACGTAACCAGCGGCGGCACCGCTGCACATCATTATAATCGCACTTGCGGCGTCGTTGTGTTATTGCAACTGTTTTTATTCCCAGGTGGTGCGATTGGGTTTTGCGCATTTCTCCCGGAAAATAGGCAACAGGGTGCTCTTGGTGTTTTAAACTTTATGTAAATTGTGTCAGCACTTTAAAAGGACAGGGTAAACACGGGCGCATTTCCGTCCGGACCCATTTTGTTTTGCCGGACGCAGCTTAGTGGCGCGATAGGTTTTAAACTGAGGTGTCGAGCGTGGCTCTAAAGAGCAGGCCCTGAAATCACTGTTGGGTTACAATCAACTGACTTTTACCAACATGAAATTTTTATTCAAACTGCCGCACTGGAAATGCTCTCGGAAAATGCTAAAAATTCGCTCCGGCTGCGGACTCTTTACGGTTATTCTCCCTGTAAACAGCATGTGAAATGTTTTGGTCTTGTTCGCTTTGGGTAAAATGGCAATATAAACCTCTCATTTTTCAAAGTCTGAATTAATTTGATAAGCCTCGAAACCTTCAGATGCTCAACCGTGCTTTCGGCGGTTTATTTCAATCCGTCTAGTTTTTTGTTTTTGTAGAAAAAAAAAAAATAAAATAAAATAAAAACACGATAAAAAAATGTCATCTCCCTATAGCCTTTTATCATGGGAACTTTTACGGAAGATCTGTATTACTCCGGAGTATTTGTAGACAGTTAATAACTATTATATACGATGTGTAAAAAATATGGGACGGACTTAAGGTTAATATGTAAGGATAGAAAAGAGAGGTATGAAATATGTAATTGTAAGACTGATCAGAACG